TTTTTCTTTTCTGATGTCAGATAGTTTACTACATTTTGATTATAATTAAAGTAGGTAGGGAGAGCACAAACCCTGCCAACATGAACGTAACATTTTTACCAAGAGGAATTATATGTTTTCTGCATGGCAAGTTCTTTATATCGGTTATATCTAGCTGTGCACCATGCGGTATCGCGTGCCTCAATGATGGGTAAAGCCTGCTCTGGAACTACCGGTGCTCGCAGTGTCTCCAGTGCTAACCGGCCCCGGCTTCCGGCCCCAGTAGCTCTGAGCGGGCTCAGATCTGTGCCCTACTTTTATGCCGCTCCTGCTGCGGAGAAAAAGACAATTTGGGATAGAGATTTAGTTTGGAGAAGAACATTTATTGTAAACAGCAGGATAGATAAAGCAGATAAAGGCAGTGTATCACGTTCAGAAAAGATCAAAAAGGCCAGATAAAAGAGAGCCTCTTATAGAGCGCCCAGTTAAGGACGACCTTGTGTCGTCTTGCTGAGATGAGTCAGAAGGTGCGTGTTCAAAATGGGTATCCAGAGAATATGCAAGATCAGAAGACAATTCCTCCTCCGAGCTGGTCACCGCCACCGTGTGGTCAGCACCGCGGTGGTGTACAGGATAGACAGCTTGCACAGTACCGACCGTACCGGCCTCCTCCGAGCTGGCCACCGTTTGGCCGTGTCCGTAGTAGCGTTCAGGATAGACAACGTGAACAGTACCGGCAGTATCGGCCTCCTCCGAGCTGGCTTCTTTGTGGCCGTGTCCGTAGTGGCGTCGAGGATGGACAGCGTAAACTGTACCGGCCTCGTCTGAGCTGGCCACAGTATGGCCGTGTCCGTAGTGGCGTCCGGGATAGACAGCGTGAACAATACCGGCCGTGCCGGCCTCCTCCGAGCTGGCTACCGAGTGGCCGTGTCCGTGTCCGTAGTGGCGTCCGGGATAAACAGCGTGCAAAGTGTCGGCTTCCTCCGAGCTGGCTAAGGCGTGTCGAACATATGATTGTTTTCCTCTCGTCGCTGGTTCGGCATTATTTGACGAACTGTCACTGTCGTATGTTTTGGACTGCTCAAAATTTTCCTCTCCCACCGGCTTGGTGTCGAGAACCGCGGCATGCTGTCGTAATTAAAAAAGAATTGTGATGAAAATGGTTTAATAACACTTATTTCAACTATAGAGGAAAAGTAAATTCCTACAATTAAAATGTCAAATGATAATTCCACACACACAAAATTTAGAACTCTCGTGCAAGAGATCTCTGGCTGGAAGCCATGTAGCCCCTGACAAGAGGAGGATAGGCCACCGGCTCGACCCGCGTGTATTGCTCGACCAGGTTTTGCCTATCTACCAGGCGATAAAGGACCGTCCACACTCAAAAAACACACTATTTTCGGTCTAATCTTGATATTCGGGTCGTATTTTCTTAGTATCTTATTCTCTCCTAAAACCCCTACTTAGAAGAGACGCGAAAAAGTCGACTATTAGTTAAAAACTACACCCTAAAAGCTTATGAACACTTTTCTTCATAGCTAAGTGGAGCACGTACAAAGAACTCAGTAAGCTATGAATAAAAATGTTCATAATTGTTTTCCATCTTTTTAAAACAAGCAGATTACTCGTAATAATCGTGACATTTACTGAAGTCCAGCTTACCGCTATGTCCACGACGAGAAGAGCCCCGATTACTGCAATTTGTTTCAACATGACTGATGAGAGAGGAGAACGGATAGTCCCATTAGACCGTTGAACTCTTTTATAAGTCACCCACTTGCCTAGCGTTGGATTTGTTCCAGTTTGCTCACGTCTGGCGGCAGTGACCGTGACCCAGACCTACATGGATGTTTGAGATTATGTGGCCCCAGGTGCTTCTTAGTCAATGTTTATACTGAACGTTCACGTTGCGTGCCTATACTGTACACCATTGTTTATTCAAGCTTTTATGGCAGGTTTCCGGCGTATTTCGTTCCTTCGGCAATACTTTTGTTGGTTATTATTAGCTGCATTCTACTTATATCTTTCTTGTTGATGACCTGCGCTCGGTTGTGAGCGTGCTCTCATAAACGAAGTGTTCAACTTTTCAACACTTATTTTAGATGTGAAAATACTGTTCAAACACTTGTAGTTATCTAATAGAGTTGTTGTGCTTTTAGAAGTGTGCAAAGAGGGTAAGTTTAAAAAGCACCCCACTGGAAGTTGGTTGGCGTTCTTCTCAGAGCGCCAATAACGCCAATATTTTGGCGTCATAAGGCGCACACCAGTTAACAGTACCAACAAGCCGAGGGTGTGCAACTGGGAAGTTGAACACTTAGAAGTGTGCAACTGGCAGCTGAACTCTTAGAAGTGTGCAACTGGCAGTTGAACTCTTAGAAGTTCACAACAATAAGAACTTAATTAAACACTAGTGTCGCAAGCTTGCAAGTATTAAGTGTTTAACTGGTATTTACATACTTTGGAGTGTTGAAGAATTGGTTTTTCTGTTGAAAGGGAGGGGGGGGGGTCGTATGTCGTGTGTGATATCAAAGGGCTAAGGCATAACCAATGTTTTTCTTACGACCACGAGGTTTATTTCAAAAAAAGAGAATGATCTTTACAAAATCCACATTATTGTACAATAAATAGTATGCATGGATGACACAATGAGCGGTGGGTGACATCCGTAACGCGGTTTCCGGCTTTGGACTTCACCTCTCTATTTAGAATGGCATTCTACTTACAAACAACTCCTCATCTTACTCCCCTAAATAACTTACATATTATACACAGATATACCGCAGACAGAGACGTATCACAGTTGGATACGTCATGGCAAAAGGACTACCCACTTAACGTTTAGAGATGAGATGAAATGGTAACGTGGGCGAGGGGGTATACATTCAAGTACTAGTTGGGACACCTATTCCTTGTATTACGCAAAATAGATATATTCTAAATTTAACAGTCGGAGACTGATTTTTAACTCAAATCTTGATGTTTTCAGGTATAATGAGACTTATGTTATGGCGTAATAGAACTTAATGGTGTGAAGTGGGTCACCGCTTTGAGAGCACATACCCCCTCGCGTAAGTGAGGGACTGGTTTCAGGCAGCTGGAGCCCAAAATCAGCACTCAATCACTTAGACTTTACTTAAATTTACCCGGCATAAGGCGGAAGGTACTCTCTGTTGGGCGGGGTGGGTCGGCTCTGCCCAGAGAGGCCGGGCCTTGGAGTCGTGGAGCCAGAGAACGGCGTCGACGAGCTTACAAAGTCTTCTTGGACTTTCGGGCGTCCAGTAGTTGACGCGAAACCCGAAGGGGAAGTAGAACCCTGGAACGGATTCGAAGAGAAGCCAGGGGTCACGGAGCCGCCCTGCTGACCGCCGGGGTACGCCGTGGTTCCCGAGAAACTGCCGCTGTTGGGGAAAGCGCTGCTAGGGCCGGAAGCACCAGGGAAAGCGCTGCTGGGGCCGGAAGCACCCGGGTAAGAGCTGCTGGGGCCGGAAGCACCAGGGAAAGCGCTGCTGGGGCCGGAAGCGCCAGGGAAAGCGCTGCTGGGGCCGGAAGCGCCAGGGAATGGAGTGGTGGGTCGGAACGATCCCTGGGAGTCTGGGGAGGAAAAATATTGTTGGTATAGTGAGACCAGGGATTATTTTTCGTTAAAATAACAGCAAGTATCAAGAGCAATTTGAAGGGACAGAAATGTACCTGAGAAAGATGGTCTTGCTCCCTGTTGACCAGAGTATGCGGGTCCAGAAGCGCCCTGCTGACCGGAGTACGCCGGTCCAGAAGCACCTTGCTGACCGGAATATGCTGGTCCCGAAGCACCAGCACCGGGTTGACCGGAGTACGCAGGTCCAGAAGAACCAGGCTGGCCGGAGTACGCAGGTCCAGAGGCTCCCTGTTGGCCGGAGTATGCTGGTCCTGAGGCACCGGGTTGACCTGAGTACGCGGGTCCGGAAGCAGAAGGCCCGACAGGCCCCTGTTGGCCGGGGAATGAGGCAGACGGTCCTTGCGGTCCCTGGTTACCACCGAATGAAGCGGAGGGCCCAACAGGTCCCTGCTGACCGGGGAATGATGCAGATGGTCCGACGGGGCCTTGCTGTCCAGGGAATGAAGCTGAAGGTCCGGCAGGTCCTTGTTGACCGGAGAATGAAGCGTACGGGCCAACCGGGCCCTGCTGTCCAGGGAATGATGCGGATGGTCCGACCGGGCCCTGCTGTCCAGGGAATGAGGCAGACGGTCCTTGCGGTCCCTGGTTACCACCGAATGAAGCGGAGGGTCCAACGGGTCCTTGCTGACCGGGGAATGATGCAGATGGTCCGACGGGACCTTGCTGTCCGGGGAAAGCAGCTGATGGTCCAACTGGTCCCTGCTGTCCGGGGAACGATGCGAGCGGACCCACAGGTCCCTGCTGGCCGGGGAACGAAGCGGATGGTCCGACGGGGCCCTGCTGTCCGGAGAATGAAATGGGGCTGAAGGCGCCAGCTGCACCCGCAAAGGACTGGGGTGCGCCCACGATGTTGTTGTTGAAGACGTCCTTGTTTTTGCCGAAGAAGTCAGGGGCAGTGCTGCAGTCAAACTGGTACCACCACACGCAGACTAGGTGCTCCTGACTGAAGATTGTGCCGTTGGGGCACAAGAAGTCATACGTTCGGTTGTTGTGGCAGACATGGAAGATCTGACAGCGCGCCTCCACGTCGGCGTAGTATCCAGGGTACTGCTGCTGGTTGCATTTGAAGTTGGTCTGCACGATCTCGGTGTAGATCGGGTAGTCCTTATCAGGCTCGCCGGGAATAGCGGAGTAGTCACCACCAGGGTACGAGCCATCGTCTTCAGCACCACCAGCTGATGGAGCTGCACCGGGACCGCGGTTGAAGTTCTGGCCACCGAATGCAGAGCTGGGACCAACACTGCCAGCCTGGCCACCAAATGCAGAGCTGGGGCCAACACCGCCAGCCTGGCCACCGAATGCAGAGCTGGGGCCAACACCGCCAGCCTG